TTCACTGTCCTGAAAGTCCCCTGAGCTCCATGAACGATTTTTCAAAATTAAAATCAGACATAAAGAGAAAGACAGAGCTCTTCTGACACGGAGCTGCTTGTCTTTCTAATAACATAATTTACAGCCATTGTGAATTGACCTAAAACACACCAAACACCAGTCACTTCGTGAGTCCTCAACTCCTAAAATCCTTAGCTAATACCAATCTTCTCAGCCCGTTAATTTCTCATCAAAAAATTTCTTAGCTAACTGTTACTTACAAAAAAAAAAAAAAACAGGCAATGAAAGAAAAAGTCTTACAAGAAAAACAAGACATTTATTACAGATTGAAACTGATCAGAAGAAAAAATACAGAATTCATAAAATCATTCTTTGTTGGAACTTCTCTTCCTTCCAATCATTTTAAAAGGAGCGTGAGGGTCGGACCACCAGTGGCATGCATTCACATTCCTGCTTTGGAGGTCTGGGACCCCAGAGTCCTGGGCATTATTCAAAACCAGATCCTGATGGTACCAGACACTAGAGCAGCTATGCGAAGCAGCAGCTCCTTGCACAAACCACAGGGGCGAGAGACACCTACAGGAAGAAGAAGAGGTAACTGGGTCTGGGGAGCAGACACACAGCCCCAGAAAAGAAGCTCAAGTCTCATAAAGAGAAGAATCAAAGAGACCCCAGGCAGAGGCTGTCGTCAGGTGTGGGGCCCCGGGCTGGCTTATGAAGGTGTTTGTGGTGTGAGGTCAGGAAGGAAGGAAGCAAGCAAAAGCGAAGGAGTAGGCTGGCCACAGCTGCCATTGTGTGCAGGAGTGAGGCTGGAGATCAGGATACTCCATCCAGCCATTCATCCATTTATCAGTTCATCTGTTCAGTAAGCATGTATGCACTGAGCATTTGCTGGGGATTACAAGGATCAATGAGGCAAGTTTTGACCTCAAAAACCTCCCACAACCTAGTGAAGAGGATGGAAGAAGTTAGAGTACAGCTGGGCAAATGCAATTCCAGAGACGCCCATGTGTGGGAAACCCAGAGGGAAGGGGTTCCTGGAGAGGACGTGCAAGCTGAACTCGGAGGATAAGCTGGGGCGGGGATACTGTATCCCAGCAGAGGGGGTCTGGGAGTGGAGGCGAGACCCAGACTGGGGCCCCAGGGGAACAGTCATCTGGGTGAGGCTCTCCCATGTGACTCGGGAGGCAGAATCAGCAGCTGAGGCAGGAGACACAGGCAGGGAGCACACCACCAAGTGGGCGTGAGAGGACTGCCGAGGTGCACGCTCTGAGGGAGCTCATACCCCATCCTCCAGCAGAGCAAGGCCCCAGACTTGTGATAAGACGACTCTGGTGGCAGTGCAAAGGTGCCTTCAAGGAGAACAAGACACAGCCACCAGAAAAACGCTGAACATAGCAGGCTAGAGATGCAGCTGAACTGAGGCCAGCAGCATGGAGAGGGCAGAGTTGGGAAACATTTTAGAGGGAGCATTAGCAGGCCTCTGTGACCAACTGGGTGAGGTGTGGAGGAGGTCGAGATGTATCTGCTTCAGGCCTGGCGGAACTGGGAAGATGAGTTGGAGACAGGAGAAACATGAATCTGAGAAAAGAATTGCATTTTGAACGTGGCGTGGAACACCCAGACAGAGGTGTCTGGCAGGCTGCTGTTGACTCATGCCTGGAGTCCAGGCTGGAGGGGCAGTGTGGAGGAGATGGGGAAGAATCCCTAAACAGCTAGGTGTCAAAGCCCTAGGGGTGCTTGGCATCACCCAGCAGAGGGAGGGCTGTGAGCAGAAGGAGAACCGAGGTTGGAACCCTGGGGAACATCACGGTTTCAGGGACAGCAGGAAGATGCCTGTCTGTGAAGAGTAAGACGTCTTGGCCTGAGAGGGGACCAAATCTCAGAGGTCAGAGGGTTTCAAGAAAGAAGGAGTGGTCATCCATATCCAAAACGGCTATGAGGTCCAGGAGGAAAAGGGGTGGATGTAGGGATAGAACAGCAGCGAAGAGGTGGCTACGGAGCAGGGCGGTGTCAGGTGCAGGAGGAAAGACTGCGTGAAGCCCTGGGGAACAAATGCAGATGGCGTTTTAAAAAAGACAGGATGAGAAGAGATCAAGGGAGGGTAATGACAAGCCTGGGATAAACTAGGGGAGGGGAACCCACTCTGCAGTCAGTCCTCATTAGTCACAGATGCCGTATTTGTGAATTCACCTACTCACTGCTCACTAACTGTTACTTGAAACCCCGAAATCAGTACTCATGGTGCTTTCTCATTCGTTCTCAGACAGTCTCGGAGCAGCAAACAATTGGAGTCATCCTGCTCACACCTTCTCAGCTGAGGTCAAGCAAGGCAATGCTCTGCCTCCATGTCTCAACTCTCCTGCTGCCAAATGTCCTTTTCACGGTCTGTTTAATGCCCCACTTTTTGCATTTCTGTGCTTTTTGTTGATGATGTCACTTTTTAAAATAGCCCCCAAGTATAGTGCTGTCAAGTATTTCTCAGTGCAAAAAGGCTGTGATGTGCCTTACAGAGAAAATATGTGTTAGAGAAGCTTCATTCAGGCATGAGTCATAGCGCTGTTGGCCATGAGTTCATTGCTAATGAATCTACAGTATCTATTAAATACAGCATCTAAACAGAAACACACATAAAACAAAGTTATATGCCAATCAGTTGAGGAAAATGTTGGGAACAGAGGCTCAAAGAACTCTAACCCTGTATTTCCTATACCAGCAATGATTTCGTATTTCCTAATTCAATGTTCAAAGCACTTATAGACCATAGCTGCCTCAAATAAAAAGAACCAACTCTACTTGGTGCAGTAATTAATAGTGTCCTGTGAATGTGAATCAGAGAAAGTGTAAATGAATACACCTGCACATAGTCATGTCTGCCTCTGGAGTCTCGGTTGGGTCTTTTCTGTCTTCTGTGGGGTCTCTTGCTCTCTTCAATAGTTGGGCTGTCATGAGAGACCATGATAGGACGTTGTCAAGAATGAGTCTGATACCTGACTGTGGAAATCACTCAGAAAGCCACTGGAGGTGGTGTAGGTTTTAGGGACCAGTTCTCCCACATAGTTGATGATAAGCGGATACCATGCTAACACTTCCAGTCAATTAAAGTCTTTGCCATGTAGTTGGTGACTACATTTCTAGTTTCACCCAACACATGACAAATGATTCTTAAACAAATAAGCCTTGACATTTTGCCCTCTCATGCTATTTTTTAAATATGGAGATATGAGAATCACAGGAAGGAAAAGGGAAGAGGCTTTGGAAACAGACATAAAGAGTGAAATCCCAATCCCAACACTATCTCAAGAGCAGGGGCCTCTAGATGCCTCTGCTTCTGCTTCCTTCTCTATGAAACAGAGATAGCAATATGAATAAAATTTCATTTGATTTCTGCATGATTTATGCAAGGCAATGTATGAGATGGGTCCAAACACAGACCCAGGGACACCTGAGTGCTGTGATGTTCGCGGGCACAGAGGCCAGGCACAAAGGGGCATTTAATGAACATTTGTTGAACAAGTGGATCATGACACTGTTTCTTTTTACTATGCCCTTATTGACAAAAGGCCTCAACAAGAACTGCCCCCTTTGCTGCTTTTGGGCATAGTTTAAGAACACCACACTAATAATCAAGATCGTGACATAAAGAAAAATGCATCACTCGCATGGCTATGGCTTGGGTGCTGAGGGTCTTCTGGCTACTATATAATTGAAAAGTCAGAACTGAACTACTCCGGTCACAAAGATAAGAAAGTCTAAGATTCTCAAATAGATTTTTTTCAACATGAGAGGTGGGACCTGATTTTCTGCATTTCCTATCTTAGAGTAATAAACAAGAAAAAAATTTAGAGCATTTAATTTAAATATTACATTTTACTATCCACTCATACATTAAATCATTTTCTGGCAACATTGAAGAATCCTAGAACAGTGTTTAGGGCTCTAGAGATTCCATAAGAAACAAGCCAAACTCTCTACCTTGAAGGAATTCCCCAGTGGAAAAATGTCACTCACAATCTGAAAATAGTAATTTTGGTTCTGGCCATGTATTCATTCATTCTTTCCTCCCAGCCTGAGAGATTATATTCTATACACTGTTCTTAGCACTATGATATTGACAAAGGATATTTTTAATAATTTCATGTAGATATATTATTAATAATATTTTTACTTGTTATAAAACTGAAATAATTAACAAGGAGAATGCATCTTCAAGAAGCTTATGGTGGTGGTGGCTCATGCCTGTAATCCCAACTTCGGGAGGCCAAGGCGGGTGGATCACTTGAGGTCAGGAGTTTGAGACCAGGCTGGCCAATGTGGTGAAACCCCATCTCTACTAAAAATACAAAAATTAGCTGGGTGCATTGGTGCACACTTGCAATCCCAGCTGCTCGGGAGGCTGAGGCAGGAGAATTGCTTGAACCTGGGAGGTGGAGGTTTCAGTGAGCGGAGGCTGTGCCATTGCACTTTAGCCTAGGTGACAGAGCAAGACTCCATTGCAAAAAAAAAAAAAAGAAAGAAAAAAGAAAATTTATGGTCTAGTATGGACAAAAATAAGGAAAAAGAAATAATAAACTCTTGAAGGAATTGCACCGTGAGAGGTTAAGTAATTCGCAGATGGGAGAGCAGGCTCAGAAGCAGGCCCGTGGATTCCGGGTCCCATCGGATTGGCTTCCTCATTAGTCCCTCTGTGCTGGCCTCACCAGCTTCACTCTGTGATTTCAGGGAACTCAGCCCAGTGTAGAAACCTGCCCTGCTAAAGGTCACAGGAGGGCAGAGACATAACTGGGACTTCAGTCAAATCCTGTGTTCAGGTCAGGGCTATGGCATGGCTCTTTTGTCAGTGCTGTCTTCAAAAATAAATGCTTTGAGTGACCAATCTCTTCATAAAAATCAGATGACGGATTTATATTGCAATATACATATGTATACACATGCAACGTTATCATATTACTAATAAACGAAAAATCCAATCCATCAAGAACTATCCTCCCTGCCCCCAACCCATGATGTTCTGTAAGGAAAAAAGATATCATTTACATTTATAAAAAGGGAATATGATGTGTCTGTTTCTTCATAATGAGTGGTTTCTTGATCTCAGCATGGAGCTGGTTTTTATTTTTAGAGTTGCACCATAGATTAAAAAGAAAACCTACCATTTGTGTCTTTCATCCAAGAAGTCCTCACTGGTAAATTTCCCTTCTATTTTAGTAAAATGTCAGTTGACTTCTTTCAAATTCCATGGTTAAAAATTAATTATACTATGCTTAACTGATTTTTTAGAAAAAGAATTTCAAGAACCCAAAGTGAAGGATGTCATTCACTTAAAGAATATGTACTGAGTGTGATTTACTGGATGTGCCGGGCTGCGTGAAGGGCACCAGGGACAGTGGCAGCTGAAGTTCCTTGAGACCTGCTCTTAGGGAGTCTGGTAGTCAGATGGGTGTCAGGAGACAGCCAATTGCAGGCCCTGTGATGAGAACCTTACAGAGGCCCAATCAGGGACATCATCTCCAATCCAGTGGTTGTGGTTTGTGGTATCAGCAAGGACCTCCAAAGGGAAGCGACAACTGAGCTGGGACCTGAACAATGAGGCAGAACTACTCAAGTGGATGATCCCGGTAGAGGCAGCAGCCAAAGAAGCTGCAAGCACCTCAGTGCTACAGGAGCGGAGGGCCAGGAGGACTTGGGAGAGGTGAGGCTGGAGATGTGGCCAGAGCCAGGTGGTGAAAGCCATCGTGAGCTACACTGGGAGTTTAGACTTTATCCCATAAGCATGCAGCATTACACAGACTGTAAAGCCTGTGAACATGCCAGCTTCATTATTAACACGTGTGTGTGTGTGTGTGTGTGTGTGTGTGTGTGTGTGTGTAAAATACCTATGTATGGAATCAACATCTATCATTCCATCTTGAGATTCTTCTTACGCGTGCCCTTCATAATAGCTACATTTGCTCCAATCCCATCGCTAGTTATGGGGAATTTATACACATGTGGGACTCTATGAAGCTCAGTGTCAGAGTGATGAACCAGGACTCCATCTCTAGCTTTCTACAGAACTGGGGTAGATAGGCTGTTCAGTGTCAGGTTGCTGTCCAGCTCTGCTCAGTCCCACAACTGAAGCAACCATTAGAGAGTTTACACGGGGCAAGGATCAGAGTCTTCTCCATGTTCATGATAAGCGTGAAGACAGCAAGCAAGGTAGACAGTGTGGGATCAGAACCTAAGGCAAGAATACAATCAACAGTTCACTGGTGATGGTAGTGAAGTGGTGGGCCAATGCCAGAGAAAACGTGTGGGAGAAATGAACAAGACCAGACCCCTATGTACATTACGAGAAGATGAAGGATGAAGTGGAGTCATTGATGCCCTCAAGATCTTTAGCCTGAGCAAATTAGGTGAATGGTGATGCCATCAATTAAGAAAGGGAGCTTGGTAGGAAGCTAATTGAGTTTCAGGGACTCCCAGGATACCCAATGGCAACTGCTTTCAATAGGCAGTTGATATAAAGGCCTGGATCCAGACATAGAGTGTAGAAGAGAGATGTTTGGAAATAATTATGCATCATTGATAGTTAAAGTCAAGCAAGAGGAAGAGATAAAGGAATAATTGTCTGGATGCAGTGGCTCACATCTGTAATCCCAGAACTTTGGGAGGCTGAGGCAGGCAGATCATGAGGTCAGGAGTTCGAGACCAGCCTGGCCAACATGGTGAAACCTTGTCTCCAAAAAAAAAGAATAATCTACAGAATTGGGAAGTGATTAAACTAAGGAGATCACACAAATGCTCACCAGCATTTAAAGTATACATTGGCTGGGCATCCTAGCACTTTGGGAGGTTAAGGCAGGTGGATCACCTGAGGCCAGGAATTTGAGACCAGGAATTTGAGACCAGCCTGGCTAACATGGTGAAACCCTGCCTCTACTAAAAATACAAATATTATCTGGGCGTGCTGGTGGGCGCCTATAATCCCAGCTACTTGGAAGGCTGAGGTGGGAGAATCTCTTGAACCCAGGAGGCAGAGGTTGCAGTAAGCCAAGATCGCGCCATTGCACTCCAGTGAGGGTGATGAGAGCAAAACTCCCTCTTGAAAAATAAACAATCAATAACGTACACATCAATAAAAGGAAGTTAGATCAGATTTCACAGATGAGGTGAGGAGGTTGAGGAAGCAACCAGAGACCACAGTTGTGTCAAAAAGCTTAGCAGGGAAGGAAGGATGGAGGGAAGGCAGTTGCTTGGATGGATGAGAAGGGCCAAAGGAAGGAGCTGTGGACAGACTTAATCACATCAGCGGCAACAGAGACAAATGTCATGGGAAAAAGATTGAGGGTGCATGAGATTGAAGAGGTAACTGAGGAGAAGTCTTAGGGAGGAAGTCAGAGAAGCCAAAAGGCGAGGATTTGAACAGCACATTGCAGATATTTGAAGGTCGGCAGTTTTAAGGCATTCACTCCACGTGGCTTCTATTTCTAAATACACGTGTTCACCTGTGTTTTCTTACCTCAAGACTGTTACTCAAAGTCAGTATTTATTCTTGCTCTGTGCCGGTAATTTGGGTACCTTCTATTTCCAGGAGGAAAAGCCCTTCTCATGATCTCTAAACATAGAAATGGGAAGCGTAGGCTCTGTCAGTCATATGAAGACCTGAGATGGCGTGGACTATGTGACTACAAATTAATAAAAAGGATTGTGACCAGCATAACCCGAACCCATCTGTCACAAGAATACCTGAGGACGCAATAACTTCATCATCTTTATTCTACTCTCTCTCCTTCTTCCCTGTGTTGTGTTACAGCTGGGTCCAGCACTCATTTCTCCCCACTCTGTATTACCACATGTGATGTCTCAACCACCATGGATGCCCTTGAGGGCAGGAACTGCCACATTTATCTTTCAGTCCTCCATGGGATCTGCCCAGTGCTTGTCACACACATTTGTCGAATTGAATTAAATCATCATGTTCAAAGCAGTCTCTAAGACAGCTGTACTTCTGTGTCAATGATGTTCCCCGAGGCCCAATGTGTTTTTAGATTTTGACTTAGAAATCTCTTCGGAGACATGTAAAAGAATTGGTCACATACATTTATATCCATATAATATTTTTAGTCTTAAATGGCATTTGTCCAATACAGTAATCAGTTTCCAAGATGGCTTCCTGGTACTCACACTCTTGGGCAGTCTTTCCCCACACTTGGGCAGGATTGGCTTGTGTGCTTAATAATAAACCACGAGGTCAAAAGATCGAGACCATCCTGGTCAACATGGTGAAACCCCATCTCTATTAAAAATACAAAAAATTAGCTGGGCATGGTGGCGCTTGCCTGTAATCCCAGCTACTCTGGAGGCTGAGGCAGGAGAATTGCCTAACCCAGGAGGCAGAGGTTGCGGTGAGCCGAGATTGCACCATTGCACTCCAGCCTGGGTAACAAGAGCAAAACTCCGTCTCAAATAATAATAATAATAATAATAATAAACTATGCAAAGATAATATATCACTTCCAAAATTAGGTTATAAAGACTGTGATTTTTGTCTTGGGTGCTCTTGCTTGCTCATTCTCTCTCTCTCTCTCTCTCTCTCTCTCTCTCTCTCTCTCTCTTTCTCTCTCTCTCTCTCTCTCTCTCTCTCTCTTCTCCTCTCTCTCTTTCTCCCTTTCTCTCTCTCTTTCTCTCAAATCATCATCTCTGAGGGGATCCAACTGTCATGTTTTGAAGACATTCAGAAGTCCTATGGAAAGGTCATATGGTGAGAAACTGAAGCCCTTCATCTACTACCCTGTGAAGAACTGAGGTTTCCCAAAAACATGTGAGTGAACTTGAAACTGAGGCTTCCCAACAACATGTGAGTGAGATTGGAAGTGGCTCCTTCAGCCCCAGTCAAGCTTCAGCTAAGATCACAGCCTAATCAACATCTTGTCTGAAACCTTTTGGTAGACCCTCAGCCAGAACCACCCAGCTAAGTTTCTCCTGGATCTTTGACCCTCAGAAACTGTGAGAGACTAAATGTGTGTTGTTTTAAGCTGTCAAATTTTTGAGTAATTTGATATATAGCAATAGATTACCAACATGCCCAAGTTGATTATTAATCTGATTCATCAGATTTATTTCCAAATGTCTTTTAGATATTTCCAACATCAAATCCAAGGGCAGATGTTTGCCACCAGTATTGAGAGTCAAAGTAAAATAAAACAAAACAAAACAAACAAACAAACAAAAACCTCATGGATTCTGAAAACAATTCCTAAAGAAAAGCTCATGAAAACATTTCAGCAATGGTCATGCCATTATAATAACTGCATGTTCTCCCAAAGTGACAACTTGGATGAGATATAAAACAGGCATTAAAATAAAATCAAGCGTCAAGTTAAAAGCCCTAGCACTTCAAATAAACTGGAGTATGCCTAATGAAGGTCAGACTTTGAGCTCATTGAAATGTTAATATCTGTGTTATTCATTTTAATGGGGAATGCTGAACATCAGGTGGATTTTGCAGCTCTTCTGGGAAGCAGCATGAAACAGGCACAGGTTTTAGATTCTGACAAATCCGATTAAAGTCCTACATTGGCAATGTAGCCACAAGCAAAGTACAGAAACTCACTAAGCCTCAATTAGCTCACTTGCAAATGGAGAAGAATATAGTCCTACCCCACAGAAGGAGAAAATTATGTTACAATTAGTATAGGGTAGGTAATTTGCATATGCCAATTAATGCCATGAGTTCTTATTGCTTTCTTCATCTACATAAGCAGGTAACACACTTGGTTTACAGGGCTATCACAAGGACCAAATGAGAAAACTTATCTGTATAGGAGAGGGACAAAATAACTTAGTTTCATCCATTTGATGAGAAGTTTGGTTGAATATGGCAAAAAGAAGATCATTAGGTCCATTGTATGCCTGTATCAAAATATCTCATATACCCCATGTATATATATATATATATATATATCTCCATAAAAACTAAAAATATTCTTAATTAAAAAAGAAGATTATTAGAGTTCATCCTATTTTTTTAAAATGCTCCAGAGTATGTCAGGAAAAAAAAAAGTCAATGCTTATTTCCTGAGCCAGATTTGATATTTTGATTCCTGGTAACTTTAAGTCAGTTAGTGCCTCAAGGTTACCTTTTCAATAATTTGCAAAGCAAGTTTATATATTACTATTCTTTTCATTTTTACTTAAAATATTTTGTATTTCAGAGATTTAACTCCCATGGAACAAGAAACAGCTATAAAATAGGATTTCTCAGGAGTCCAGATTGATCAGAAAAGGATCTGGTGGCACAGCAGGAAAGAGACAACTTACCAAGTGATCGATCATACAATTGTTCACTTATGGACTCATCTGGAATGAGACCTGCAACACAGTAATAATCATAAGACAAGACTCCTCTGACTACTCCAGAATGTTCTGTGGCTTTATTATTAATGCCACAAATATACTTCTTAAGCAAAGATGCAGTGAGAGATCACCTCCGAGTTTTGTTGCCATCAGCACTAATAGGAAAAACACCTCCTAAGTCATAGAGCACTAACCCAACCCACTTTGTATTAAAGGCCACACAAGAAAAGGAAGAAGGAGAGCCCTTTCTCCCTGAACCAAGACACTCAAGGAGATGATCAGCTCTAGTGGTATGGCTGAAGGATGACAGAATTAACCCTGTTTAGTTCTGATTCTCCCAGCTACACATTCCTAAGGGGAAAACCAATACCAGCTCTGCTCACTTGGCAGAGATGTTGGTGCCATCAAATGGAATTAGGGATGGAAAAGCCCTGTTGTGAATACAAAGGAATATCTAAATAAATAGTTGTATCATTATTATCTAGTGATAAGAAATGGGCAAAAGCAAAACAAAATGTTAATTTTCTATGACTGTAATTGTTCAGTTTATATACATATATATTTCTAGTTTTAAGTGACTCGCTAACAAAAAACTGCAATATGAAGTTATTTTAAGCAAAAAACTTAAATAAAATATCTTAACTTACCAAATGGATAATTGTTTCTCCATTTATGAGATCCCAACATGTCCCCAAAAATCATCTAAAGAAATGTAGGCGTCAGGATGTGTCAGCACATGAAAGAAAAAGGAAAGACACTGAAAAATGTAAATGTCACCTGGAAGCCTCTGATACAGGCTATATAATCCATTTTTAATGAAATAGGCAATACATTATATTAAATAACTTTATATGGTGTCAAACACATAAGTCTAAAAAGCACATGGGGAAGAGCAACCTATGTGAAGTTTAAATTGCCCACTGATCTTTCCCCTAGACTGAGAATGTACTCCCAAACATTGCCAAACCCCAGAAAGGCAAAACTCTGTTACACAGACTTGCACAAAGACTAAGTTTAGGTCAAATTTTAGCGTTTTCTCTCTACAAAGTCATCATAATATGTTCAGTAGGAAATGTTGTCCACAAGATGTTTTTATGAAACCACTCAAAGTCCATGCAATCATCACAAAGGGAAGTGGCTGCTTGGCTCACAGTCTTCCTACCAAGAGTCTTGGCAGGCTGCCCTCTCCATCCTGAACAGTCACAGGTAGTCTCTTGGCCTCCATCACAGTGATTGGACCAGGAACACATACCAAGGCAATTTAAGAAAGAAATAATACTCTTCTCAACAAATAGTGCTGATACAACTGGATATGCACATGCAAAAGAATGAAGCCAGACCCCTTCCTCGTATCGTATGCAAAAATCAAATCAACATGGATCATAGACCTAATGTAAGACTGCAGAAGTGACAAAATAAAAAATAGGTAAACTAGACTTCATCAATATTTAATTTTGCTCTCCAAAGGACATCATCAAGAAAGTAAAGGACAACCCACAGAGGGGGGAAAATATTTCAAAACAATTCAATAAAAAGACAAATAGTGCAATTAAATCATAAGCAAGGATTTGAATACACATTTCTCCAAAGAAGATGTACAATGGCCAATCATTAGTCATTAGAAAAATGTAAATTAAACCGTGATGAGAGCCAGGCACAGTGGCTCACGCCTATAATCCTAACATTTTGGGAGGCTGAGGCAGGCAGATCACCTGAAGCCAGGAGTTGGAGACTAGCCAGGCCAACATGGCAAAACCCTGTCTCTACTAAAAATGCAAAAATTGGCTGTGTGTGGTGGCACACATGTGTAGTCTCAGCTTCTTGGGAGGCTGAGGCACTACAATTACTTGAACCCAGGAGACAGAGGTTATAGTGAGCCAACACTGTACCATTGCACTCCAGACTAAGTGACAGAGTAAGACTCTGTAAAAAAAGCAAACAACAACAACAACAAAACCCTATGTTAGAATGGCTAAAATAAAAAAGACAGGCACCAACACACATTGACAAGAATGTATAGAAACGGAAATCCTCATACGTTACTGGTAAGAATGTAAAATGGTACAGCTACTATGGAAGAGAGTGTGGCAGTTCCTCAAAAAGTTAAACACAAAGTCACTATATGGTCATTAAACATAGAGTTACTATATGATCCAGGATTTCTGTTCCCAAGAGAATTAAAAACGTGTGTACACAAAAACTTGCACATGGATGCTTCTAGCATCATTATCCATGATAGCCAAAGAGGGAGAATAAACCAAACATTGATCAACTAACGAATGGATCAGTCTAATGTGGCTCCATAAAATGGAACAATAGGAATGAATAAGGCACTGATGTGTGCTACAACATGGACAAACCTCCAAAACATGATGCTAAGTGAAGCAAGTCGTTCACAAAAGAACACAGGCTGTATGATCCCATTTGTGTGAAGTGATCAGAATGGACAAATCCATAGACACACAAAGTGGATTCGTGGTTTCCAGGCATTGGGAGAAATGAGGAATAGACAACGACTGTTATTGGGGTCACTTTTCAGCATGATGAAAGTGTTCTGGATTTAAATGGCGGTGGTATTTGTGAATATAGTAAAAACCATTGAACTATACACATTAGAAGGGCAAATTCTATGGTATGTAAATTATCTCTCCACCAAAATGTATTTTAAAAGGGGGAATCAAAACATCACATTGTACACAGTAAATATATAACATTTAAGATAAATTAATAATAAAGTTATAAATGTATAAAAGAAAGAAAAGAGGGGACACTGAAGCCAGGCCAATAGGAGGAATGCCAAGAGGTTTCCCTGACTGGCAGTAGAGGGAAATGCCTCCTTTTCCCTCTAAGTACAGAGGACAGAAGTCTGGAGTAGCTCGGGGTTCTACTTCCTACTGCAAGGAAAATGCCTCTCTGCAGTAAAGGTGGGCGTGGAGTCGGGGAGACACAGTGACAGAGAGAAAGAGAAAGAGAGAGAGACAGAGAGAGAAGAAGGAGGAGAAGACTGAGGAGGCAGAGAAGGAAGACGAAGGAGAGAGAGAGGGAGGAGGGAAGGGAAGAAGAGAGGGAGAGAGATAGGGGAATGAGGAAGAGGAGGAGAAGGGAGGGGGAGAGGATAGGGGAGACAGGGAGAGAAGGGGGAGAAGAATGTGGCACATACAGGAGGGAAGGACACTCAGTCGAGTTGTCCATGAGGCCAACTTCTCTCCTTCCTTTCTGGGAATGTGTTCCAGGGAACTATCCGGTTTTGGCTTAGACTACTTCTAGTTGAATATCTACCTTTCTAAATGAAAGGCAGTAAATAAATTAAATGTCTGTCACCCCTCCCTTGAGCTCAGAATTCCTGTCATTATTCTTCCTCAGTTTCTTTCTTTTGGACTATTTTGGGTCTCTTGTCTGAAACCCTAGCTGACTTCATACTATCCATTCCAAATCAGAAGGATTTGTCTAAAATCAAACTCACTTATTAGAAACTGAAGAAAGAAAGAGAGGGCACCAACCTACAATTGTACTAAATTGTACCATTTCAGCATTGTACTCTTGTGGTGCCTGCACCATGATGAGGCTGAGCCTGCACCATGCTTATGCACCGTATGGAAAGCTTTTCTCCTCTATGTGTTTCTCTTTCAGGACTGAAAAAGAAATAATAAAAACTACCAATAATTCACATATCTATTTGGTTAAGGACAAGAGAATATTTCCAAATTTAGAAATTTATTTTCTCAATTTTTTATGGTTACTATAACTGTTAAAATTATGTCATGGAAAGTCCAAACATTTTATATTCAGCTCTCTTATTATGTCCTTACCAGACTTACTCTAAGTCCTTATTAGTCATAATTTGGATTTTGGGGCTTATTTGCCATGACTTCCATTTTTCTTCACTTTGTATTTCTCTTTCTGAAAATTCTTCTACATTCTCTAAATGTTTTTCATGTGATCTTTATTTTTATTGCTCTGGGAGGTTTTTTTAGTTTTATTTCTTCTATTTCTTCCTTCCAACAATAATTTATTTGTTCTATGACTAAATTTATCATAGTCTATTATCTTTCATATTTATAATATTATCACTTTTTTCACTGAAAATGATTATCAGCCGTTCTCTCCTTTCTTCTCTTCTTCTCTGTTTCATGTAAGAAATTCATTTCAGAGTTTCCAGGAATTACTTAAGTCTCTATCTTCTTTCTTCTTCTTCTTTTAAATCACAGAATTTTTAAATTTGAGCATTTTTTAAATAGATTTGCTTAAAATATTTTATGATCACCTAATCTTTCAGGACACGCAAACTGGAAGTTTATTTTAAGATATAGTTTGTTCAAAGGGCTAACTTAATATCTGAATCTTCTTAGAAAACTTGGAATTGGAAGAAAAGAAAGTGGTGTTCACTATGCAATTCGAAAGTTGCAACAGATTTGTGGGCTTTCCAAACAGTTAGAACCCACTAAATCAGGGGTGGAAGAGGGGTTAACTTAGCTACTCATTTAGTACATTGATTTTGTGTTAAAGGTCATAAAATGAACCAGAATCTATTTCTTTCAACATTCACTCCTAAGCCCTAGACCCAGTTAGCATTCTCTCTCACCTCTTATTTATTTCATATTTACTCCACATGTTTTCTTACCTAGTTCCAATCTATTCATCATCTGATTCTGTCACCATCCTCCACTCCCAGCATACACATACTTAAAATCCCTTTGATAGCCCCGGTGTCATTAGGATAAAGCCAGGCATCCTCAACAAGACCCTCAAAGTCATCTTGACTGCTCATGCTCCTCCGGCTCCACCTTGTGCCTCTCTCCCCATGTTTTTGTTTGTTTGTTTGTTTGAGTCGGAGTCTCACTCTGTTGCCAGGCTGGAGTGCAGTGGCCTGATCTCAGCTCACCGCAACCTCCATTTCCTGGGTTCAAGCCATTCTCCTGCCTCAGCCTCGCTAGTAGCTGGGACTACAGGCATGCCACCACGCCCAGCTAATTTTTGTATTTTTAGTAGAGACGGGTTTCACCATGTTGGCCAGGGTGGATCAAGAGGTCAAGAGATTGAGATCATCCTCTTCACATCATATTCTTGGCCATTTCTTCCCCAGTTTTCTTGCATTTATGCAAGTATTTAGTGAGCTGTATCAAACATTGTCCTAGGCTGACAAAAACAAACATTTCCTGCCCTCTTGAGACGTACAGTCCAGGAAGGAAAGCAGGCAATAATCAGTCAAATGTATAATATAATTTCAAGGCAAAACTGTATATATTATTAATTTTACAGTATGATTGCAAATCACTTTTAATGCAGTTGAGGAAAAATAAGGTTCCTGCCACCCACTGAGTATCCCAGTGCCAGGCCAGACCCTTCATGACCATCAACTTACCACATTCTCTCAACAACCTATCAGGTGGTCTTTATTATTGCTGGCATTTACCAGATGAAGAAGCTGCGGATCATGAGGATTAAATGATGGTCAAGTATCCTGACCTGGACTGCAGAACTGGGAGATAGTTTTGAACACTGGTCCTACAAATATGTCCTTCTTGATTACACTAAACCACGGTGTCAGGGAGCCACATACTTAGGTCTGAAACTTCAAAGGTTTGCTCATTGTTACTTTAAGGCCATTTCCCAAATCCCAGGGAAATCAAGAGAGAGAGAGAAAGAGAGAGAAAGAGAGAGAGTGAGAATGAGAGAGAGAGAGAGAGAGAGAGAGAGAGAGAGAGAGAGACAGAAAGAGAGAGAAAGTGTAAGAGCAGAAGAATAGTCTGGGAGAAGTAGGGGATGTGGACAATGAGGCTGTAAGTGTCCAAGAGCGAATCCCACAGAGTCAGCAGAGTTCTGCGTCCCCAAGCCTGGGTGATGATCCAGCCACCCAGCAAACCACTCTGCTTTTCACAAACCCACACAGAACCTAAGAGATGTGGTCTGGGAAGAGACAGGGCCCCAGTCATACCTCCTCACTGCTGTAAGACTCAGACGTGGAAGAGGACCAGCTGCAGCGAGCACGCACGCCCTGCACCTGCTGGCCAGATACCTTCACGGTGCTTCTGCATACAGCTGTGGGCTGGAAAAGACAAAGTGGTGAATTCTCTCTTCAGCTGCTCATGGAAAGGGATTACCCTCCATCCAGTAAATCAAGCAATACTGTCAGGTTTGATGAAATGACGAAGAAAGAAAAACTTTGCAGAGGCGTTTTGTTTTTCCAAAATGAAAATTCCTCAAGACTGAAGCAGAACCAAATGGAATATTTAAATATCTCTTTGGTGTTTGACCCATTACAAGTCTCTAAGAAAAGCAAACATTTCCGAGTGCTGAGTGGGCTTCCCTAAGTCAATTCTCATTCAGACAAAAAGAAATGAGGAAGAACCCCACAGGACTTCACTCTCTTCTCCTTTGCCCTCAGATTTCATTAGAAATAGAAGCTTGTGGCACTTTGGTATGAGTCCTTTGTAAAACAGAGTCACAGTGAATAGTTTCATCAAACAAATAAGAAATTAAACAATCCTCTTTTAAAGAACAAAACCCACAAGCTTGCACCTCAGATTGCAAACACTTTGGAAAGCAAATTTTGGACTGCAGGCATTGCCCTGTTCAGATGGGATTAATGCTCACGTGTGTTGATTAAGTGTCTGTGGAGACCAAATGTATTCCACCTTAGATGCCAATCCACCATGTTGACTTCTCATTAACCTATTTCTGGGAATCCCTCTAAGAGTTCCACTTTCACATAAATACTGTAAATCCTGGCCTTAGGTCAAATCCCCTACAGAACATAAACCCTGGGTCTGAGAGGAAATGGCATGGGGATCCATGGTCTCACCTCCACCCAAGACATGGGTCGTGTTTGTAAGTCCCTATGAATTGTTCTTGTTTGTTTGGTTTGTTTGTTTCCTGAGAATCTGGATTTGGCAGCCTCTTTCTTCAGCCTCTCGGCTCCCTTGGCCTTTGCTGTTAGGTTTGCATGGGCCTGCTCACCGTGGAACAGTACCTGTTCTGGTCATAAGAGACACAAAAACGAACATGCCATGTTTCTGATCTCACTGAGCCTGAAATAGTAGGGAAGGCAGATGCTGTTCAACAGTCAACTGCAAAAGAACACGACACGTGCCGGGAACACAGTCAGTTTGAGAGAGAATTTTGTAAGAGAATTTTAAGTATGTCTGGGATTTGTCTTTGTTGGCTTCTTTATACTCACTTTTCCTGATACAAATTCATCCTCATGTTAAAGAGCAGGAAACTGAGGCACCAGGGATTAAGTAATTTGTCAGGATCGCTCAGGATCTCAAACTCCACAGATCAATGCTCAGCCACTGTGTGACACTTCCCCCACCAGGTGATACTGGGTCCACACAGTTAGTGATGTGGCCAAATGCCAGCCAGGCAGGGGCCGAGTTCTTTGTGTGACTCCAGGTGATAGAAGTGGGGCTTTTCCTTTTGTTAGTTTCTGGGTCTGGTCTCCTTCCACTGTACTTACCACATAGTAGTCCCTCTGGAAGGCACACGTAGAGGGATCTTCTCCAGAATCCCTCCTGCATGTAGTCTCCCGAATGCTGAACTCTAAATTCATGACCAAGTTGTTCTCATCCAGGACCTCAACCTTCACAAAAATAAAGTATCGGAGTGTGATCAATGCATTTCTGAAGTTTATGATGCTATAAACCATTCTTTCTGCCCCATGAGAAAAAAATTACAGAATCGTCCACCATGAAAGCAATAAATTATCTTAGCAATCACTGACTTCTATGCCTTCCTTCTGCAGACCAGAGAATAAAAGTGACTTACCAAAGTTGTACATAGTTTAGTGACAAAAATGAAAACAGAATGTAGGTGTTCTAAATGCAAGGCCAGTATTGCTTCTAACACTTTAACAGTGACAACTGATCCTCATTATTTGTGAATTCCACACTGGTGAAATCACCTACTCACTAAAACTTATTTGTAACCCCAAAATCAATACGAGTAGCACTTACTTTGGCAACCATCTATGGACATGTGCAGAATGACAAAAACTTGAGTCACCCAGCGTGCACGTTACCAACAGAAGCGGACCAAGGAGTCATTCTGCCTTCTTGTTTCCGCTCTCATACTGAAAACAAGTGTGCTTTTGTATGGTCTATTATAGTGGCTTTTTTAAAATTTTGTGGTTTTTGTCGGTCACTTTAGTGTTTAAGATAGCCTCCAAGCCTGGTGTGGAAGAACCCACTAGAGTTCTCAAGCACAAGGCTGTGATGCCCCTGACACGGAAAATATGTGAATAAGGTAAGCTTTGTTCAGGCAGGAGTCACAGTGCTGATGACCATGAGTTCAATGTTAATGAATCAACAACATATATTAAATTAAGCATCTTTAAGCAGGAACTCACACACACATGCAAAAAACCCATTGATGGGTTGACAAAAATGTTGTGACCTGAGGCTCACAGGAATTGAACCTTTTATTTCCTGTAGGAGCAATGATTCCATGTTTGCTAATTCAGTGTTCATGGTGATCTTATGCAACATAACTACTACAAATAAAAGAATCAACTGTGCATATTTCTAAGTGTCATTTGCCTAAAAGACTGCTCCATAATTTCTTAATAATTCCTGAAATAAATAATTAAGCAACAAGTGCATCTATGCAGTACAGACTATTCTCCAGCCCCAGCTTCCTTCTTGAGCAGTTCTAATCTGTGAATGAATTTAAATGATTTTATACTCCTTTCCACAAAGAAAAGTTGTCTCAACTTCTTGACAAATCTGGGGAGTTCTGAGGTCATAAAGTCCAGTGACTTATTGAACGCTCACTGTGAGTTCAGCACCAGAGGCAGAGCAGGGAAGATGCCATGTGGCTTAACTTCCAGAGAAAGTGCCACGCAGTGGATGCATCAAAGAAAACAATACAAGATCATCATCCCAGATAGTTATGGAACTATCAAGAAAAACAAGACAATGGGGGTGAGGGAAGGAAGAAGCTGCTTTAGAGGAAAATGCCAGAAAAATCCTCCTAAAGAAGGCAAATTTAAACCGAGCATTGAATGATGGGAAGAAAAAGCAGAGCCAATGTCCTGGGGCAGGGAGAAGTCTGACTGTTGTGGCTGGGGCAACCTGACCAAGATGGGATCTATACACTGTAACTTCAGAGCAATGGGGAGCATCAGGCAAGGTATGGTCTTGGAGCCCATGGGAAGGTGTTTAGATTTCATTCTCACTGCAGCAAGATGCTATCAGAGGGTTTTAAGAGCTGCACCTGAATCACCGTGGCTGCCTCAAGGTAAACAGATTAGGGGCCGGAACAAGGGGGCAGCAGGAAGCCAGTGGGGAGCCCACCATGGTCCATCACCTAACACCCCCAGGATCCAAGTCACTTCTTCCCTCTTAGTTTCTGAACCCACCTGGCAGCAAACTGAAGTCAGCAACACATTGAGCCTACTGCCCTGGAGGAGAGAGATGGAGGCAGCACTCTTTCTGTGAGAGGGGGATCTACTTACAAGTAGGGAATAATAGGCACGTGCAGAACATTTTGTTTTGTAAAAAAAAAGTGGCAAAATCCAAGCTTAGGATGGGGATCTTTATGTTTCCTGACATAGGATGCATAATGAGTGCTGATAAAAGTAGAATTTTCTGAAAACAAGTAGAAATAAAAACCTTACCATCAATTACTACCTCATATATTTATAATTTTAATATATTGGATGTTAAATCTGAATCTCATTAAAAAATGAAAACCTCTCCCATCGACTGAAGTCTGTTGTGTGGGACCCTCCACTGCAGAGCATGCTGCAGCAATTCACCCTAATGCAACCTGATAAAAGCAAGCTGGCAACACGAAAGCTTCGCTGAAAAGGTGAAAATGTGGGCTTTTTTTGGGGGGGTTACAGATTATTTTTTGAGTTATGAGGTGATTTTGCAAACTCTTCTGCATCTTTAAGGGTTCTTACAAGAATAGGGAGAAACACCTAATATTTTTGCTGTTTCATTTAAACTCACTTTCTGCCAGTAAATTTCTATGCTGTGTTATTCAAAAAACATGGGACAGCCTAAATGCTCAACAATAAGAAATCGACTGGAGAAAATTAAAAACCCAGCATTACTGCTGAAATATGGTAATTTATGATCAGTGTTGCAGTATGGCCCTATTTTTCTTTAAAAATATACTTTATACCTTCATATGGAGAAAAAAACTCCGAAAGCATATCCTCTCATGGGTTTATAGTGTGTCTCAGAGAAATAAATAATGAATGTTCTTCTTTTTCATTTTCTCTTTCTTGTGTTTTCTGACTTTTTCTAATGACTATATTTTAGTTTTTATTTTTTAAAAGAAATAAAAATATGTAAAAATAAAAGACCCATAGCAATTCCATTTGACAATTGTCATGGTTAATTTTATGTCTCAAGTTGACTGAACCATGATGCCTGGATATTTGGTCAACATTATTCTGAATGTTTCTGTGAAGCTATTCTTTGAATGAGATTAATATTTAAATCAGTGGACTCTGAGTAAAGCAGATAACCCTCCATTATGCGGTGAGTGCATCAAATCAGTCGAAGCCCTTAATAGAATAAAGACAGAAATCTTACCATCAGAAAGGAATTCTACCAGCAAACTGCTTTTGGATTCAAACTATAAATTGTACCTGAATCTCCAGGCTGCTGGCCCACCTCCTCAGACTTTTTTTTCCTTTTGGACTTGCCACCCTCTGAAATTGCATGAGGCAATTCCTTATAATAAATCTCTCTCTCTCTCTCTCTCTCTCTCTCTCTCTCTCTCTCTCTGTCTCTCTCTCTCATATTCATATGCATGCATTTATATGTGTATACATGTCATATTGGTTCTGTTTCTCTGGAGACCCCTCATTAATAGAGTGTCACTGATCACTTGGGTTTTTCAAATGAATCCCTCATTAATGGACAAAAAGTAAAGATCAGAAGTGGCCAGCTGAGAATAATCTGGAAAACCAAAAACCAAAAAATGCAAGTAAGTTGAAAGGTAAAATGAACACATACCAAAAAGGTATGGAGACCTCAAGGACCCCAAACCTCCATGGTTTTGCTTCCAAATGTGCCTCAAATCTGTCTGCTCAGCCATCCTCCCTGCCCTACTTAAGACTCCACACCAGCATCTCACCATGCTCAGCTTCCCACCCCACACCCCACTCCATGTGACAGCTAGAGAGATTGCAATGGACTGTTTGTCCCCGGCCCCAATCCCTATGCTGAAACCCTAATCCCTGATGTGGTATTTGGAGGTTGAGCCTTTGGGAGGTTATTAGATCTTGAAGGTAGAGCTCTCATAAGTGGGATTAGCATCCTTATAAGAAGAGGTTGGAGAGTTAGCTAGCTCTCTTTCTGCCGTGTGAGGATACAACAGGAAATCAGCAGCCTGCAGCCCAGAAGAGAGGCCTCACCAGAACCGGACCATGCTGGCATCCTGATCTTGGATCTAAGTCTCCTGAACTCTGAGAAATAAATTGCATAAACAATAGATTATGCGCCGCCTAGTCCATTTCATTATGTGTTCATGGCCCAAACTAAGCAGAGATGTTTTGCAAATGCAGATGTCCCCAGGGGCTACCCATTGCCCTTAAAACTGACCCCAGGCTGGGAGCAGTGGCTCATGTCTGTAATCCCAGCACTTTGGGAGGCCGAGGCGGGTGGATCACCTGAGGTTGGGAGTTCGAAACCAGCCTGACCAACATGGAGAAATCCCATCTCTACTAAAAATAAAAAATTAGCTGGGCGTGGTGGCTCACGCCTGTAATCTCAGCTACTTGGGAATCTGAGGCAGGAGAATCACTTGGACCCGGGAGGCAGAGGTTGCTCTGTGCTGTGAGCCGACATCATGCCATTGCACTCCACTCTGGACAATAAAAGCGAAATTCCATCTCAAAAATAAAACAAACTAACAAGAAAAACAGACCCCAAACTCCTCAAAATCATGACCTAGGCATGTCCCACTCATGCCCACCTCTCTGACCTCTCTCCACTCCCACCTTTCTCTCCCAGGCTCGCTTGGCTCTAGCCAGCCTCCCTCTCAAGCCCTTTTGTCCTTCAGGGCCCTCCCACTGGCTCTGCCAGCTCACCTCAATATTTCCTCAAAAGATCTTTCTATGGTGGGAACTTCTTGTCATGCGAGTGAGTCTTAACTCAAAGATGCAGCCTCAGTAGAGATTTTCCCCATCTGACTGCTGCCCAAGACTGGGTCCATCATGTCAACCTGCTTACCCTCCGCTATGCTACTCTCCACTATTGGAAATGAATTTGGTTTACTTAACCGTGTCCTCTTCTTCTTCCCCTATCTTCTCCTTCCTCTCCCTCCCCATCTCCCTTCCCTCTGCCTGATAGAAACTGCTCCCTGTGAAACTACAGCCTGACCTGTTCTCTTTGCTTCCTTCCGCCCAGCACAGGGCCAGTGCCCACTCTTCCTTTCTCTGCTTGTGTCCAGAGGGAACATTCCAAGTGAGCCTACTGTCAAGGTTGGGGCAAGAAAGCCATCAGTGCTAAAGTCTTGTGGTTTTTTTCGTTTCTCATCCTTTTCCAAATTTGGAGCCCAAGAGGTGAACAACTTGAAATCAATTACAAGAATATTTGACCCAGGTCTGTTGGTAATACCCAGTGGTTCTTCACCCAAACTGCACATGAGAATGAGCAGGAGAACATTTAGGAATATGAATCCCACCCCCCAGAGACTGGGATTTAAGGAGTCTACCATCCCTCCTGGACATCAGAAATATTTAAATCTCTTGTGCAATGATAATGTCAGTCTGAGTCAAGAATCACTGGGCTTAATAAGCAAACTTGGGGACAAAGTAGAAGGGCCCAACCGTTTTCCCTACAACCATTGAACTGTACCCCAAAATACTCATGACTAAAGCACATCATGAGTATTTTGCTTTTGACATATTCTTAGAAGTGAAACTATGCAATTGAAAGGTTTAAGTATTTGCTAATTTTAATGTTTAATGTGCTTGTAAATATGCTTAACACACATTTCCAACTAGCTTTTCAAAGACAATTTTAGAAAATTACAAACTCTCAAGCAGTAGTTGTGGTTTCTTTTGCCCTTTGTTATTCTTTTACCTTGTTATTATTCTTTTACCTTGTTATTATTCTTTTACACATTGCTGTTTTAATTCTGCATTTTTTTTCTTTCAGTTAGAGAGGTTGAATGCTTTTCCAAATCCTTCTTAGTATTTTGTATTTCCTCTTTTGTGAGTTGTTTGTAACCCCACTGTTAGTGATCCATTCATTCAACTATCTCCTGAGGGTTTTCCCTCTTAGTGTATCCCTCACGTCTGCTAGGGTAGAGAGAATTGGTATATTTGGAGCCATCTATAGGGTATTTGTAGAAGACATGGTTAATACACACATCATAAATCAAAATATGAAACATTCCCAATAAAATATATATCACCAGGAGAGATCAAAGGAAGAGAATCTCCCTTCCAGGGAGAGAAGAAATAGAGTTCTCAATAAGAGGGCATGGTAACTGCAGCTTGCCCAATGAATTTGAATGATCAGAAAAGGCTAGGGAGAGGCAAGAATAGGCAGACCTCCAGGTAAAGGAGCAGTGTACTTGAGGTGGAGAGGCAACCTTCTTCATGTGCCCATCAAGAGTCATACACATCATGTATAAGTATATTTATTTTTAGATGCATGTGTGGCTGGGCTCAAGTCTGGGTGACTATACCAAGATGGCACATGAGCCAGAACGTGCTCTGGTTGCTGTGCCTTGCAATAGCTCATCCCCACAGGCCAGATTTCCATGGTATGAGTACTTGGTTCTCTTGGGATCTGTCCTCATGCTCAGATTCATCTAATAAACTACTAACTTCCTTCTGTAGTGAGCAATAGCTGAATCAAAAGTAAATTTAAACTGTTCATCTGCAAGGCTGGCAACAAGACCTTGATTCCACACCACCACAAGTAGATTTCATTAAACGCCCATGGAAACTGGCATTTGAAAAACAATAAAAGCAAGGAAGGAGGTTCTCTGTTCTGATACAGAAGCAGCTCAATCTTTGGTGTGGCAGCTGACCAGTGCCTCCACACCACAACATCCAAATCAAGTGACCTCACTCTGACCGTGATCCTGGGACAGCACCTAACAAAAGCATAGCCCAGAGTTTTTATGAACTATAACCAAACTAGAAAAGAAAATGGACCATTTGATTCATTTCCCTGAAATTTGGAAAAGAGTAACTGGGAGTCAGGTTCTGAAGAAGATCAAGCTGAATATGTTGCATTTGGAAACTAGAACTAGGAAACCGTGAGCCAACTGCTCTACAGAGTAGCAGAGGGAACAAGCCAAGGGTGAGTCCAGGAGGAATGAGATGAGGGAACAGGCAGAAAAGAAAGAAAGCAATGCCCATCTGGTCTCTGCTGCCTGGACCTTCGGTTGTGTCTTCATTCTCATTCTCATGCTGCCTGGCTGCACAGAACTTTCATTCCTACGACATGCAACTTTATAGAACCTCCCTACCTCCCACCTTAACCTAAATTTGCTTGAAAATGCATCCATTCCTACTTCCTAATGAGCCCCATCAAGACGATAACAAGGCAGTGAAATTACCTGAGGAACAGGAAGAAGGGAGGTGACTTGCTGCTTGTTTCTCATTTCCTTTGAAGGATATTTTTACATTTATTTTCTTGCATATAACAGACTTAGTCACTGGAACCCCAAGTGATTACTCTTTCTCTAGCTCCCAAAGCCAAGAGGAAACGGACTATTACCAAATTGACACAGGAAGGTGAATTTCTTTGGCTCAAAAACCAGATTATTTTCAGTAAGTATTAGGAGCAGAACTGCTGAATTTGAAAGGAGATTCGCTTCAATAAATGAGAAGTTCTTCATAAAACCCCTCAGAAAGAACCACGAGGACTTCAAGTACAAAAGCAAGATGCAGGGAAACAAAGCAAAGTTAGAGAGAAGAATACAGCAGAACAATCAGTCATCAAAAGTGGCTTGAAAAGCCTCGTGACAAAAATTGTAATTAAATCCTTTCTCTGTCAAAGAAAACAGACAGTATGAAGGAGATGACTAACTACTTTCATTTTTAAACTGGAGAAAATTTCTTAAAAGTATATCCAATGAACTGACAAAAGGTAGACAGCATTGTAAGGAGTAGAGAAGACTTCACTGAGCACTTACTCTTTTTAATGAGCTTCTGAATGCCCGAAACAGATACGGACTCAGTGACTGGGAATTCACTTTTGCCACAGAGGCACTGAGGGCGTCCCTTAAGGAGGATGGATCGTAGTCATACACTGGGAAACCTGGGCACACAAGCACATGGGGCAAGGTGAGACGAGACACAGGTGCCAGCGTGGCTCTGCATCATCCAGAGCAGGTGGCCAGGTTGGTGAATACCTTACCTGAGCAAGACCAGTAGTTCGTTCCAAGAGCAAATATAATCAATACCTTCATCATCTTCTTCTCCATTCTGGAAATAATGATTTTAATTGAGAGACAGAGAAAATGTCTCTCTACGTGTTTGGGGATGACAATTCTTGCTAAGAGGAGCTGTCTTTATCGAACACTGGCTGCTTATTTTGACTGCAGCAATCTGTAACTTAAACAGAAACAATTGATCCTGGGGTCAATATTTTCTGCTGACTTTTCCTGTGGAATGGTTCCAGTTTGAGGACACTTTTGAAGTTTACACCTCACCAGGGAACTTTAGCCCAAGGCAAAAGGCATCAAGAGGCTCAGGATTCCACGTGTGCTGTTTATTTTCCTCTATTTTAATTTCATTCTTTTGGGGGAGGGGATGTAATCTTAACGTTCAACAAAATGGTTAATCTTTAACTGCTGTGCATTGAGTTCCCCTCATGGTGCTAAAGCTCTTGCAGTTGACTGCTTATAAAAATAGTGTAGATACTTCAAGATCTTCTTGGAAATTATGACTTTGGAGAATATAATTTAATATAGGGTCCTAAATACTCCAAGCAAGTACATGTGCAGTAAAAACCTGGAACACACCATCCTGTTAACCAACCTTCTGTGCTACTGGACACTTTTGCATGTCATCTGGATAATAAGGTATTTACATATTGATGATTCCCATGCACTGTAAGATCCCAAGGTAGCTTTTGAATCATTAAAAAGGAGGGCTACTTTATCAGAAGTACAGTTTGTGTTGCATGTAGGTCATTGTGGTCTTATTTGTGAATTAAGGTGCATAAGAAACTGTTATGGCTCAGACAGACCTGGACTGGGATCTTGGCTCTACCACGTACCAGGTGTATACCCTTGGGCATGGTACTCAACACCTCTGAACCTCACTTTTCTCATCTATAAAATGGGCTTAAATGATTAGACGTCAGGTGTGTTATTAGTCAGGGTTCTCCAGAAAGGAGAACCAAAAGATAGAGGGAGAGAGAAAAAGAGATTTTGAGGAGTGGGCTCACACAATTGTGGAAGGTGGCAAGTCCAAAGTGTTGGTGTCAGCTGGGAGGCCGGAGCCCTCGTGAAGATTTGCTGTTTCAGCCAATGGCAATTGACTGGCAGAATGTCTTCCTGCTCCGGGGAAGTCAGTCTTTTTCTATTCAGGGCTTCAACTGATTGGATGAGGCCCACCCACATAATGGGGGGTAATCTACTTTACACAAAGTCTGTTCATTGAATGTTTATCTCATTTTAAAAAATACCTTCCCAGAAACATCTAGAATGGTGTTTGACAAAATGTCTGAGTACCATGGCCTAGCCAAGTTGACACATAAAGTTAGTCATCATATACGGGTTGAATAACAAGCTCTCAGAAGAGTGCTTGGCAATTAATTGCTCAACAAATGGTAACCACTAGTAAGAACTCAATTCAATAGATATTTTTAATACCTGCTGTAAACTTTATTCTCTGTAGGTTTATTGATGAGTTAAAAACGAGGAAACTGAGGCCAGCACAAGAAAATTAGATGCCAATTTATTCAGCTCCCGGGCGAGGTTCTGTGGTCCTGGGGAGAGGGGCCAGAGAAGTCGCACCTGATTCCTCTCAGGAGTGGGGTTTTATAGGGAGTGAAGGCATTTGATTGGATTCTGAGAAACACGATGTGGATGGGGTGAGCTGCTATTGGTAGGTAGGTGGGACTTCCGGTGAGCGGGCTAAGTGTTGAGTGCAGAGGGGATTTCCAAGGGTGGGGTTAGGTGCCGAGTGCAAAGGGGATTTCCAAGGCAGAGCTAGATGATTGACATAATGTAAATTTTCAAGTCGGGAGGGAGATGGGCGTGTCCGAACTCCTGGTGAGGCAACCAGCCTTACACCTGCTATGTGTAAGGCAACAGGTCCAGAGAATATCTGAAATGAACTGATAATCCAGCCTGTCCTTCATAAACAATGCAAATGTGTGTGCCAACACAGGAAGTACAAATCCCTGGAGGAATTCAGAGAGAAGCTGAAGAAAGACTTCCTGGAGTTGGTGGAAACATTGGTGGTTTGCGTTCTTCTCTCAAGTTCAGTGCCCAGGAGACCATGTGTCTTTTTGACCTTGACCTTGATGGTTTAAAACTCATTCAACAGGAGAGAAGGGCCCTCAGCCCAGGGCAAAAGACCAGAAAAAGGCAACACTGGGAAGGGGACTGCAGTCATTTGCCAAGGGATGTAGAGGCGAGCAGGGATGTTCTTTAAAAGCAGGCCAGGCACTGTTATCTACCAGGAGGAGGAGGAGACCTAAACATAATAGATGCCCCCTGTAGGAAGGCAATAATGCAAAGTTTAAATTACTGCTACTAATATGTAAGGCAACTTTATGAATCAAAGTATTGCCTCAGTTTTGCCTGCCCTCTTCACCAAGCGACAAAAGTATGCTTGTGATGACTTTACATACTGGCCAGGTCATGATGCTCTCATGCGTATCTACTGCCCTGACCCAAAAGACATTCTTGCTACAAGTCTTACTCATCAGCACTTTGGCACAAAGGCATATTTAAAATCCCTGGATAATCTCAGGTTCTAAATGCTCATTCATCTCACTCATGTACAACTCTGGGTCCAGCAGCTTCTGGCCACTCTCCAGCCTCATCTGCAGCCATCCTCCCTTCCTCACTAGGTGTCCTTGAGTTCCTTGGGGACACCAAATGACTTCCAAGCAAAGGACTTTCCACATGCTATTCACTGCATCAAACAATAATGACACTCCTCTTGCATGTCCCCAAATCAGCTTCTCTCTACCATTCAAGTCTCAGCTTAAAGAGCACCTCCTCAGAGAGCTTCCCTTGATCAAGCCCTGACCTAAGCCACTCTACCCTTTACCCATCCATGCCAGTTCCCTGCTTCCCCTGTTCTGAGCACTTACCACAAATGGATAATGATCTTGCTGGTTTGCTTGATGTTGTCATTCTCCTCTGGTAGACTCTAAGCTCCATGAGGCAGAAACCATGACTGTCTTATTTGTGGTATCCTGAGCACCCAGATAGGAATACGATTAAGTATTTGTTGAATGAGTGAGTGGTGGTGAATGAGCATACTTGGTCTCTCTGGACTTTAATCTAAGTCTTGCTGTTTGAAGCCGGCACTAATTTCTCGTATGTAACAGGTACACAGAGCAATGTGCTATGAGGTGATGACCATCAAAATTTGTAATTCTGTTACTTTTAACCTGCTTTGAACTCAATTCCATTAGAGTCTTCCAGATTTAACTAATGGCACCATCTGGCACCAAACTCCATGGTCTCATTAAATGAGCAGTAGTAATAAAAGTAATTGCAAAAGAGTAGAAGAGATTAAGGAGACAACAATAAAATAATGTTGCCAGCACAGGGCTATTGATTTTGTTTGTAGCTTGCTGGTGTGGGGAGAGATTCTTTCATTTCTCAGATTCTCTTGGCTACAATTAAACATTGGCACCAGACATGCAGGGCAGGCACTGATCAGTGCTAAAAAGTTATGATCTAAAAATGCATCCGCAGACTTCCGTCATGTCTAGTAAGCCTAGAAGATTAAATACAAGCCATCTATTAAGTTTCAGGCCATAATAATTTCATTTACTAGTCTTTCTCCCATCTGCAGAAATGTGTACAGCACTAATGCTCCCCAGTTTTCTGCTGCTCCAACACAAATTATTCAGGAATAGTATTAAAAATTATGTGACACTAAGTGAAAAGAGTTGTGTATAATAGCATTTTTTTAACATAGCCTCTGGAAATTTATATAAAACTTACCACAAAAAGCTTGGCAAGAGCAATTGGAAACCTATCGAATAAAGACAGGTGGGCATGCACATTATAGACTAATAAGATTCATTGCTATAATCTTTATCATTTCTTTTGAGATTATTCTTTTCATCTTGATCATCTCTATTGTTTGAGAAAAATCACCGCATTTAGAGCAAATGTAAACCAAACCTTCATCTAACGCATAAACCACAGTTTCTGGTGCTGCCTTCCAATGTCACATAATAGCATGATTTCTAAAATTCTGAACTCCACTCTCAAGATTTACCTTGATGGCCTATAGTTTGCAATACTTCCATGTTCAATGCTATTGTTACATTTATTTGGTAAGGAGCCACAGGTTTATCTGTTAAGCAAAGTAGTATAGACCAGCAGTTCTCACAGTGCAGTCCCCAGACCAGCAGCTTCAGCACCTCCTAGGAACTTGCAGATTCCCAGGCCCTATCCCAGACCTGCTAAATCAGGAACTCAAGGAAGAAGATCCAGCCATCTATGCAAGAACAGGTTTCCCTGTGATTCTGACTTACACTCAGGTCTGAGATTCACTGGTACAGAGCAATACTTCTCAGCAGGAGTGATTTTGCCTATTAGGGAGTATTTGGCAATATCTGGAGTCACTACCAGTTGCCACAACTGGAGGAAAGGGTTCTACTGACATTTAGTAGGTGGGAGCTACTACTGAACATTATTAATATAATGCACAGAACAGATGCCAAGAAGAAAGAATTATCTGGTCCAAGATGTGAGTAGTGCCAAAGTTGAAAAACCCTGGTGTAGGAAAGGGCAAAGAAGAGTGAGCCTCATCTCTTTAAGGACACCTCCCAAAGGTCACATGCAGCATTACTGCCTGCATCTCATTGGCCAGAAATAAGTTATAGAGTTAACCTACTGTGAGGAATGGCAGGAAATGTAATCCACTAACTGAGAGGATAAATGTTGGAATAGTAAGCAAGACTTTGCCAACTTGAGTTGCAGAAATCAGAGAATTTATGCTGCATAGTACAGAGGTGAAGGGCATCTCCAGTAAGACAGTTGTGCGGGAGGCTAGAGGGCCATCCTCACTTGGAAAGTCTCAAAGAAAAGATGAAATTAATAGAGTCATTGATAAAGAATATGCAGAAGAGATTTATATTTCTGATGGAAGGTTTTAGAGTTTAATTTCTGGTAGATACTGAGAAAACAAAGCACTTTTTTTCAATGAAATGTTATTTTTAGGAAAAATAAGCATTTATTCAAGAAATGTTTATCAGTTGGGAAAGTCTTGGTTATAATGTGGTAACTAACATTTCCAAAGTTGCAGTAACTGAAAATAATCAGGTTTCATTCTTTGCTTATACTACATATCTACCACAGGTTGAAAGGGGGGGGTTCTGTTCATCATAGTCACAAAT